CCCCAAAACCCCAAAACCCCAAAACCCCAAAACCCCAAAACCCCATCATCACTAGACCATATTGAAAATTATCAGGCATGTCAAAAGAAAAATTTGATCTAAAATGCAATTCAAGGGAGATCTTTGTGCCCTCGAAGGCAAATTAAAATTTCCAAACTAAGATTTCTTTGCAGCAATATTTGCATTAGAAATCTTCTAATCTAAGCCAGTTATCAACAGAGCCTCTTATCTAAGAATTACCATCCATCAAAAGTCCTTCAACATTTTTAAATCAGTGGTTTTGATTAAATTAAAAATTTTCCGCTTCAAATTTGTTCCTAAAGAAATAAAACTTATGTGGAAATAGCTATCTAGCATCGGTAAATTCTTCATCCTCATTTTAATATCCATTTCTATTGTTCATTCAGATATCTCTGAGGTCCATATTCAGAGTTCTGTTTTTGATTGCTAGCTTGGATTCCTTATACAAAGTTTTATTAGGAATGCTTCATTTCTCTGTAAAGGAATTACTGCCAAATTACTGATCTGACACTGACTGTCTATCCTTAAGGAGCCAATGCTCGAATCCATCAGACTGTGGTTATTATGCTTGGAGCTCTGTGAGCTGTTACGCTTGATTGATAACTTCTTCTTGAAAATTTGTGGGCATCTGTACCTACGACTTTTTATCTAATAGATAGTGATAGAGGGAATACCGAATTCTCTTTTCGGCTAATGGTAGCTACCTTACATTTCAGGTTGACTTTAAATTTTTTCAATTTAATCTTCTTTGGGCTCTATTAAATTATTAGGGTGGTGGCTACTTTAGTCGGTATTTCTTGATCAAAATTAAATTTCAAAACTTGGGTCTTCTGGAATTGATCACATTTCTGGCTAAAAGTTTCCTTAAAACTAGGCCTATGTATGGGAGTTCTTAAAGCTCTGATTCATTTGTTCTGTGGAGTTATATGCACAGATTAGCTTTTGAATGCAAGTCTCTGATTTTTTGTGAGGAAAGACGCATATTTTTCCATGATTTCTCCTGATAAAATGTATCAAAATTACAAAAACAGTTTGGTACTTACCATCTGGAATGGGTCAAATATACTTGAAATGTTAAATTCCTCCTTAGAGTCTCTTATTCTGAACCCTTTAATGGGAATAGAATTATCTCGTAAAAATTTGAAGGTCTTATTTAAAAATAGGACGTTTGACCATCTCTGAAGGCGAATATCTCTCTAAAAATCTTTTCTTACTGTTCTTAGAGCTAAGGAAAGAACTATGCGGATAGAGTGTGAAGGAGTTGTTAGCAATCGATTTCATGATTCAGGGTAATTTATTTTATTATTCTATTAACTGTGTCAAGAAAGGGGTTTTGGGGTTTTGGGGTTTTGGGG